TTCCTCCTGTCCGCGCTGCAGCTGCTCGTACAATCGACGAGCCTGTTCCTCCTGTCCGCGCTGCAGCTGATCTTACAACTGACGGCACTGTTCCTCCTGTTCGCGCTGCAGCTGACCTTCCAACCGACGAGCCTGTTCCTCCTGTCCGCGCTGCAGCTGTCTTACAACTGACGGGCCTGTTTCTCCTGTCGGAGAGCCTGCTCCTGCAGCATCACCAGCAGAGCACCTAAGCCAGGTGCTGCAGATGCAGGGGCTACTGACGGACCGACCTCCATGGCTGGTGGCTGGCTTTCCGACGTCTGCGGTGTTGCACCACCAAATCGCTCTGGTCCGTCTCTTGCTGGCGTTGAATTCGGGTTCGGACACCCTCCATTTCGTCCTTAGATAAAATCGGCATGATTTTATCTCACTTCTGATACCAATTGTTACGAGCTAAAGGTTCGTGACATTAAAAACTGCCGATTGAATTACCAAGATTGACACTTTAATTACTGAACATCAATTAAAACTTAAATCACACTAATAATTACCCATACTTAGCACTTTAGTTCACTTTATTTCACTCCGAAAGCTTCGCTCGTATCGCTAATTCAATACTGTCCCGATCGCGGCTTTCAACGGCTTTACATAAGCTTTTCACCGAAACATCCACAATATTCCAGCAAATATCGGCCACAATCGACCAGGTGCAGAAAGTTCGAGTGTGGAGCTTACTAAAAAGCTTAGTTCTTCCACTCGATACCTTAATGTACTAAATATCTTTAAATGTGTTTACGAACACAATTTGGAAAAAGACTTATGTGTGTGTGTGTGAAAATTAATGAACTAATATTTAAAAATTTGAATAAAAACATCTGATATTAAAATATTTTCTGTCGTCAGCCAGTTTGAACTTTAAATAAAATTTATGAAATGATAACTCATTTTTCGACGACGATATATAGTTTGGCGAGCACAGTCAAATACTCTAGTCAAACGACTCTTTTTTAGAGAGTGCGGGTCGATAGTTCTAGAATCAATTTAAAATATCAAGATTAATGAAAAGCTGCCTACCCAAGATGTAATTTATATATATTTATATATATTGTTACGAGATTAAGGTTCGATTAAGGTCGAAGTAAGGTACAATAAAAACTGCCGATTGAATTACTAAAATTGACACTTTGATTACTGAACACCAATTAAAACTTAAATCACACTAGTAGTTATTCACACTTAAGTTCACTTTAGTTCACATCGCTACGCTAAGCTTCGCTCGTATCGCCAATTCAATACTGCCCCGATCGCGGCTTTCAACGGCTTTACATAGGCTTTTTACACCGAAACATCGAGAATATTCCAGCAAATATCGGCCCTGATCGACCAGGTGCAGAAAGTTGGAGTGTGGGGCTTTTTAAAAAGCTTAGTTCTTCCACTAGATACTAGATGGCGCTAGTGGGAGAGTTCTGGAAAGATATTGACGCTCCTGTTTCTGCTGCTTGATACCAGATGGCGCTAATAACCAGCCGCCACATACCAGGCGCTAATTATATCACGCAACAATATATTTATATCTTTTTAAAAATTAACATCGTCAACTGCGACAAACACCGAGGTGGTCTCATGACTGTTCTATTTTTATGAGTATTAGAAAGATTATTAGAAAACCACTTGAGGAAAGGAAATATTAGTTTATTAGGACAACAAAATTTATAATTTTTAGAATTATTTAGTTTAGAACAATGTACTATAGAGCCGCTGTAACTCAGGGGTTGATTTATAATGTTAATGATGTGTTATTTGATTTTACAGGTGTACACGCGTTGTCAATTTCAACTTTTATTTACCTCGCTTCGTGGATTTTTTCTTGTGTTATTGTACGCGAAAATCGCTTAGTAATCCCCTTTAATGGTTTAATACCTCACATGCCGATGCTTTGGTTCATTTCGGAATATATTTTTGCGGAATCGAGTAAGTAAATTATTAAAATGATTTAAAATTAGTTCACTGAAGCTTACCAGAATTGCTTTTTTGTCTATGGGCCCGTCTGCATTGGCACAACTTTCTCATCCATTGTTTTTGCTAAGCAACAGTGATGCACACACTGCTGTTTTCCGGTTTGAAGAAAGCGAGTAATACATTTAAGGTATGCTTGATTGAAATTGTTTGCTAGAGGCCATAGGCTGCATTTTAGTCACTTACGATCAGGTAGAGTATAAGCTCATCTGCTACTCCAAAATTAAAAAAGGAATTCGATTTGCGATTCATTACAACATAAAAAGTTATGACAGTTATGTATTAAGAGCCGCTCCAGGCGATGATCGCATAGCTCCAGTTACCACTATGAAGGCAGTCCTTCGTAGATTAGTCTCTCCACAGTCGTCTTTTGGTTGGCCTTGTTACACCAGACAATAGAGGCGTAGGTGAGAATTGGCCTCGCTATTCTGATGTACAGTCCTAGGACCATACTGAGACGCAAGCCCCAGTTGTTCCCGACCAAACGACTGCACGTACCTAAAGCAATTTTTGCCTTATGGCATACGTTGCTAAGGTGAGAGTTCCACGTTAGTTTTTGGTTGATTGTTACGCCCAAGTACTTAACTTCCGTGGAAAATGGTACTTCTTTATCATTAAGTTTTGGTTGGACTAATTTGTCCAACCGTCTCTTTTTGGTAAAGGGTATTATAACAGTTTTATCAGCATTTTAACTGATAAACTATTATCCCTACACCAGTTATTTATGGTGTTTAAGGCTCTTTGTATTATTGACGTTAAAGTACTTTGGCAAAATCCCCTTGCCATGATCACAAGTTCATCAGCATAACCCAGTGTGTCAATGCGTAGGTCTGCCATTTTGTACAATAGTTGGTCAACCGCAAGAGTACAAAAACAAAAAAAAACACACCGGGTGACAAAACACCTCCTTGTGGGCAACCTCTTGTAGTTGCAACCTCAATCGAAGTTTGAAAAAGTTCTATATTTGCCTTTCTGTTTGAGATCATCGACTTCACCCATCTGATGGTTGTGGGATCAACATTTTTAGATGTCAGGCCCACAATCAGCAGTGATGTGGGGCTACTGTCGAAGGCGCCCTCAATATCTAGAAAGGCACGAAGAGCTATTTCTTTATCCTCCAGTACTTTTTCGACTCTGGCAATGACACTGATCAGGGCTGTTTCCGTAGATTTGCCTCTGCGGTAAGCATGCTGGTTGTAATGTATGGGCCTCGTAGCTAGAGCTACATCCCTTATATATCTATAACCTTTTCCAATGTCTTAAGGTGAAAGAAAGATAGGCTTATAGGTCTAAAGGACTTTGGTAAAGCGTAGTCCATTCTGGTATAAATAAAACCTTGAAAATTGTCCATCGTACTGGAATGTAACCCCATGGAAAACTTGTTTTGAAGATTTTCACCAGATAAGGAAGAAGAAAAAAGAAATTGATACTCCTCTGTAATTGGATGGGAATTATTCCATCCTTCCAGGTTATTTTATATGGTTTAAAGAAGTTAACAGCCAAGTGCACCAAGTTTGGCCTTATTATCTTTGCAGCCCTACACCAGTTCTCTTTGCAAGGCCTTCGTAGGGCTCTGAAAGAATTCAAGGCTGAAGTCTTGTGTGACCCTGGGAAATGGGTTGACGCTAGTAACTTGTTTCTGCTTCACTATTAGTGAAGATACCATCTGGCTTTTTAAGAATCCCGATCTGATTAGGTTTAGCTTTCTATAGCATTTTGTGTCTTGCACTGCGGGGCAAAGGTTCAACTTCCTTGCATATTTTCCTCCACGATGCTCTCTTGGCTATCCTAATTTCTTTGTATATATATATATATATATATATATACATTCGGCACATCAATGATATGTTACAAACCGGGAAAACGCCGTCGAGTATCAGTACAAACTTGTGCCTGAATAGTATTACTCTGATTTTTTCGTGGACGGTGAATAGCAATATTTATTAAAATAGGTGTGCTTGCTGCTTGATTTGCTGCTTAATTGTTTATCCTGCATCATTTAAAAAATACCTCGTGCATATGTTTCTCAGATCTAGATGTAGACTCAACGTACAGCTTACTGGAACACACCGGACAATAATGACTAGGTACTTTCGGAACCAAATCTGTCCAAGTTTTTACAGTTTTTGTTAGATATGTATATTTTTTGTGACCTGCGGTAGTCGATTTATTTTTAGGGCCATTTGCAGGTGAAACGTTAATATCAATATCTTTATTAACCATGTCTGACTCTTTGGTCCAGCGCTTAAAACTGTCTTCACATAAAGAAAGTGTACTTAAAAAGAACAATCTACATACTCTCACGTTAGTACATTTTGAATCTCATTCAAAAAAATATGTTTACCATTTCCTTTTTTATTGAAACCTGTTCTTTGCGCGGACAACAGTTAATTCCTCTTCAAACTGCAGCAGCCTTTACAAAAACTTTCTTTTCTGCCCATGTCTTGAAATAAGAATGAGTCGTTTTACGTTTTTCTTCTGTAATAAGCATGTACAAGAATTAGTTTTTAAACTCTGTATGTGAACAAAAGGGGTTTCATAGTTGGCTTAGGTCTTTCGACACACGCTTTATATTTACCATTATCAGTAGGCTTCTCCTTAAACCTTTACCTTTCGGGTCACCTGTATAATATTGCCTTGCTTTTCATTAATCTTTATAGAGCTTACTTGGTGCTCAATTTCATCGTCTGACGGAAGGGGAATATTTTTCAGAGAACTTAAATTTTTTGTCATCAATGACAATAATGGTACCTCATCATCACTATCAAACGAAGCGAGCTGCACTCATCTCTTTTTTTGAGGGTGGAGCCCAGTTCGGGTCCTGCACACTATTATGAAAAAATCGCATCTAAGTCTGGCAACTGCGGCTTTAAAAGTGACATGGTGGTGGTGGTTACATCATTTTCATTATCACCGCACCTGCTGCTTGTCTATGTAAATCGATCGAAATCGAATGTATGATAGCTCGAGTAGGCATTTCTTCTTTATCGTCACCGCTACTTAACATGACCTGTTCAATAGCCGCAGCAGGTGATGGTGATCGCGAAGATGAGAGTAACGGCGATCTCGGAGGTACAGCAGTTTCAATCCAAAATCTTCCAGCGTTATTAATGAATATCCAGATATTCTGATGTTTATGAGCATGGATATTATTTTCCTTAAAATAAGTAATATTGGTGATTTTTAGCCTTCCCGGGTCCACTCCATGATTTCATTTATTTTGTATGATTTTTTAATTTACTTCGTCGATCGATTATTTTTCAAAACGATTTTTTCAATACACACAGGCCTCGGCGGTGCGGTTGCTTTGACGCCGCGCACCGCCTGGCAGGGTCGCCATATAATATTGGAAAGGTGTTAATGAAAGGCGTGTTACTACTTCTATGACTTTGATTTGACTACTCTTATTCAGTACATAATACTACAGGCTGAAGGGAGACTAGCTATCAGTGCAGGGCAAGATTATAGCGCGCGACTGTAAACACATGTGCATTCTCTATTTCCTCACTTTCGTAGTCCGATGAGGAGACCAGGCATAGTACCAATAGTTTTATGTGATCTGAGACATGGAAGTAAAACTCCGCCTACTTCTTGACCCAAACTTCGTATTTATACGGTTAATATTTGGACGCCGAAAATATGACCATGATTCCGAATTTCACGAAAAAACTCATGTGGCTTCCGATTCAACTTCGCAAGAAAACTCACATTCTATTTCAACAAGAGTGACTGACGATCATACAGTCCGCCTGATGGTAAGTGGATGCTGTAGCCCATAGACATCTTCATTTATTCTCAATTCAGAATCAACATGCAGACGCGTTGTCACTCCTGTGGACTAAGATGGAATGCCCCTTTTGCAGTAAAAAGGGTCTCCGTTTTCTACACTCATCATAGGATAAACATCAATATTGAATCGTTGTTTTACGCTATTTTACGTGGTGAGAGCGTAGTCCCACCCCGATCGAGCCAACCCATTTTTGCTACACCCACAACACAGCTGCAGCTTGGCTCTACTAGATAAAACTTTTATACTGTGTTACCTACGTACTTTCAAGAGCAGTTTGAGTTTCTTGTTGACACTACTGTCGCTCACTTCGCTTTGATAAATACTTTACCTTGAAAATTCCGTAATGTTTCCGTTTATTGCAAATTCTTTTCTGCTGAAGCTGCTTGGCTCCGTAACTTATGATTAACATTTATTTATCAACAAGTAACAAATAGCATCATATGATAAAGCAAAAAATTTGACCTTATCACTTCACTATAACATTATATTTGAGTAAAGAGCTAATATAAATCCATATGTTTAATTGTAAATGAGGTAAACAGAAATAAGTTTTGAGTGAAAAGAGTAGTGCTTCTAAAAAGTTTTCTCACTATATCAGATTTGATAGACTACAAATTCTCGCTAAAGAACACCGATTCTACCGACTGTTGAAATTAAAGAAAAACATCCTAATTTCAATAGAGGAGATGGCTGGGTGCTACCATATGCTTGGGATTCTATAATTAATATAATTAAATCATAACCCAAGCATACAACTGAGAGACTTCAAGATACTATAAGTTCATACTGCGTAGATCGGAACACAAATTAATTATTTTACCGGTACCCGTGGTTAATTATGACATTGGGACGTCGAACACCTCAGTCTCTTCCGTGATCATAGGTGCTGTAAAGGTTCGAAACGTCGGATATATAAAATAAGTTAATGTACGTGGTAAAATTCGTAAAAACTAATTTTGTTTAAATTTTTAGTGTTCGTGTAAATATAAGAAATCAATAAGTGAAGAATTCGGCATCTTTCCATATAACAACGTATTTCAGTTTCTCCCTTTTCAGAAATGTGTTGTTTTTCAATGTTCTGGAGTTAAACGGGGCTCAATTTCCCGTAGAAACAGAGCAGTGAATAAATCCGAAGACTCGTTGCCAGAGAGATTTAAAGGCTACATCAAAACCAAAGGCAGCCACAATATTACATAATATAATTTTTATAATCGTTTTTACTTTCGTTAAATTTAAATGGATATAGTTTTTTTATTATTGGATAAAAATTAACTTAATTTATAATTATAATTAATTTATAATACTAATAAAAAGTTCTCTGGTTCTCGCTATTCATCACAATTTTTTTAAAGAAAATTTACTATCTTATATTATCCCGTGATAACATAATAGTGTAACACCCCGTGTCATCCAGTGGGTGTGATAACAGGTACCAGAGGGAAATTATACTCGAGATGAACAGCGGCAACTTCCTTACAACAACACAATAATAAAAATAACAACCCGCCTGACCACTCTGATAACTACATACAATAACGCCGGGTGCGTTAAATATTGCATATCGGCCTTTGGAAAGAGACAATCAGCTAATTTTGGTTTCGTAGAGCGTTATCTCTGTCGCACACTGATTGACGGACTGTTCGTATTTCGTGCGACAGAGATAACGCTCTACGAAACCGAAATTAGCTGATTGTCTCTTTCCAAAGGTCGATGTGCAATATTTATCACCTGGTATTGTACAACGGGTTACACACGAGTGTTTATCAGTGAACTGTTGTTGAGCTGTAATGAATGACTATAATAATTACATTTTACAGTGAAGCAAGGCATAAATTTCAACAACTGGTCGGAGGAATCTCTAATCAAAAAATCTTATAAACTTAAATACGTAAGCCCAACGACGTCTTTCGCAATGGAACTTCTTCAGATCTTCCTCTTCTTAATACTGTCCGGCTTTTTGGAGAAATTTAGGCCGGGAAAGTATGGTGTGCAATTACCGTGGAACTTTTTTTTACAAGTATGTTATTTTATATTAAATTCTACTTTACAAGTATGTTATATCAAAAAAGGGATACCTGAAAAAAATTTTCGCCTTTCTACTCCTGTCAGAGGAACATTTTACAAGTAAAATTTATTATTTTATTCCTAATTTGAAGAAATAAATACCTATATTCCAATTAATTTCATAAAATATCAACGATTTGGTTGTGATTAGTTTTAAGAGTAGCAAGCAACCTCATGCTCGTGAAATCTTGTTTATGATGCACACGCTTTATACTCAGACCGAGGCCGTAAGTGTTACAGCCTACATACGTCTCATTCCAAGATAAAGATCTCACATTTCTAAGAGGTTTGTGGAGCAATTGCTATGCTGCGCTGCCCAATACGTGTTGACAAACTTCACTCGTCCTCGAAATATTTTTTTCCTTAGGCATACGGCTTCACGACATTTTCTTTCACCGCTGAACACTTAAATTGCAATTTTTTTTTGTTCCGGCAAGGCATTTTCCACATGGCACGGCAATTCAATACGGGTTAACAAAATAAAGTGAAAATTCAGAAACGCCAAAACTTCTAGTAGAAATATATTTTTTAATTTATCTGAATGACAATAAATAAATGTAATCCTTTCAGAAAAAATATTGGACTGCCAAAATGACAGAGGAGAAAAAGAAAACTGATATCAAGAGTATTTACGACCCGGCCGATGAGAAATATTTTGTAGACCCTCCAGATGATTTAAAAGTGGCCGTAACCGTTAATAACGTGCAAAAGGTAATTTTTCATCACATTAAAGTGGGTGAATTGAAGTAAAAAAAAAATTATATCCAGACAATTTAATATAGTGTGGAAGCGCTGTACGAGAATTTAGACCCCATGTCGTCCCGTCCCGTGGGTAATGTAAGAAAGAGGTGACAAATGGATGATGAGACGAACCAGGAGATAGGTAACTGCCTTTTCGAAAACTGATTTTTAGGGGCGCCTGAAAGACGTCGAAGACCTAGAACCTAAGCGCCGTCTAAACCTAAACGTAGAGGACCTAAACGCCGTCCAATACCATCTCGAGACGGCGAGGCCGGCTCTGCTTTTTTTGACCGAGACGCAGGTGTCCTCTCCGGCTGATGTCTCGTATCTCTCCTACCCGGGGTACAAACTGGAACACTCCTTTGTGCCTCGGGCTGGCGTTTGCGTTTACATCAGAGGGGACATCCGTTCTCGACGCCTCGGCAGTCTTAAAGGTTCGGACCTATCCATCATTTGGCTACGCGACGATCATCTGCGCGTCTACGGGTGCCTCTATAAGTCCCATAGCGGTAATGCCGAAACAGACTGACTCTTCGACCACGTCCAAATGGCTACATATTCGTTACTACAGCAGATCCCCTCCGCAGAGATCGTGATCCTCGACGACTTTAACGCCCATAACGGCAAATGGCTTGGTTCACGTTTAACCGATCATGCGGGGAGTTCTGTTCATAATTTTGCCTTGACATATGGTCTGACACAACTGGTTATTTCGCCTACGCGGATTCCAGATGTGGAGGATCATGCACCTTCCCTGTTGGACCTTCTACTGACCTCTCACCCGGACGGATATCAGATTTCCGTCGACGCCCCTTTAGGCTCCTCAGACCATTGTATTGTCCGGAGTATGGTGCCACTCACGCTGAAATCGCAGTTACATTCTACAGGCTGCCGCCGTGTTTGGCACTACAGGTCAGCGGATTGAGATGAAATGCGGTCTTTGCATCCTACTCTTGGGGCCAGGTTTGCTTCTCGCCGGACGATCCCAACGTTGTTGCGGATTTTGTCGCTGATGTGGTACTTCAGGGTATGGAACTTTTTATTCCTTCCTCTGTAGTGCCCATTGGAGGTAAATCGCAGCCATGGTTTGGTCGCTTCTGTAAAATAGCATCATGCTATAAGCAGGAGTGCTACCGAGCCTGGGCTGATGTATCAACGTCCCGGGATGTAAACACCAGCGCTCTAAAAAGAAGTATAATTTCGCCTCTAGGTCCTTCAAAAGGGTCATTGCCAAGGCAAAGTCAGAGCACATAGGCAGAATTGGCGAGAAACTAGTTCGCCTTCCTTCTGGAACCCGTGCATTCTGGTTTCTCGCTAAGCCTGTCCAGGGGAATTTCTGTCAGCCATCTCTTCCATCTCTGCACAGGAAGGACGACTCACTGGCCTATACAGCCAAGGAGAAAGCCGATCTGCTAAGCTCTCTCTTTGCGTCCAACTCGACTCTCGATGACGGAGGGAGTACGCCGCCGACCATCCCGCGGTATGAGTGTTTCATGCCGGAAGTGCAGTTCACAAAGCGCTCGGTTCGCAAAGCACTCCCCTCCCTGGACATCCACAAGTCGAGTGGGCTTGAAGGAATCCCACCAATTGTGCTGAGGACGTGTGCTCCAGAATTGGCACCGGTTTAACGCGTCTTTTCCGGTACTCCTACTCCCTAGGCGTAGTCCCAAAATCATGGAAGACGACTTTCGTCCACCCGATCCCTATAAAAGGCGACCGCTCAGACCCGTCTAACTACCGGCCTATCGCCATCACCTCCTTGTTCTCCAAAACAATGGAGTCTATTGTTAACTGCCAGCTCATGAGGTACCTTGAGGATCACCAGCTGAATAGTGACCGCCAGTACGGTTTTCGCCGTGGTCGATCAGCTGGTGATCTTCTGGTCTACCTAACTCACGTCCAAGGGGGATGCATTGGCCGTTAGTTTGGACATTGCGAAGGCCTTCGATCGGGTTTGGCACAAAATTCTTTCGAAGCTCCCTTCCTATGGGCTTCCCGAGAAATTGTGCGATAGGATCACCATCTTTCTTGCAGATCGGAGCATCAAGGTCGTTGTAGATGGTGCAAGCTCCGATTGCAAGCCTATTAATGCTGGCGTTCCACAAGGCTGCGTGCTATCGCCAACACTGTTTCTTCTGCATATCAATGATATGTTGCAAACCCGTAACATTCATTGCTATGCAAATGACAGCACTGGTGATGCTCTTTACACCGGCCGTGCCAATATTTCTCGGGAAAACGTCTCCGAGTACCGGGACAAACTTGTGTCTGAAGTCGAGTCTTTGCTGAACAGAGTCTCGGATTGGGGGCGACTAAATCCAAATTTAACCCCCTGAAGACACAAGTTTGCGCGTTAACCGCTAAAAAGAACCCCTTTGTCATATCTCCTCAGTTTAAAGGCACTCCCCTTGCTGCCTCTGCCAGTATCGGAATCCTCGGCGTTGACATATCACTTGGAAGAGAAGGCCAAATTGGCCTCTAAAAAGCTTGGCGTGCTCAGCAGAGCGAGACAGTATTTCATGCCGGCACACCTCCTGCAACTTTACAAGGCGCAGGTTCGTCCGCACATAGAATATTGTTCCCATCTCTGGGCTGGGTCTCCCCAGTACCAGCTCCTTCCACTTGATCGCATTCAGCGCAGAGCGGCTCGAATCATCGAAGACCGAATGCTTTCCGATCGGCTCAATTCACTGGCGCTGCGAAGAGATATTGCATCTCTTTGCATTTTCTTTCGCATATACCATGGGGAGTGCTCTGAGGAAATGTTCGGATTAATCCCAGCCGCCAAATTTCGTGAACGCACTACGCGGCAAACGTCCCGATACCATCCACACCATCTGGATGCTAGGTAGTCCACCACTGTACGTTTCAAAAGGAGTTGTCTTCGGCGTACAACCTCTCTGTGGAATAGTTTACCACCGGTGATTTTTCCGGACCGATACGACCTGGGGACCTTCAAGAAAAGAGCTTACTCCTTTCTAAAGGGCCGGCAATGCACTTGCAAGTGCCCTGGTGTTGCGGTTGATCATGGGCGGCGGTAGTCACTTAACATCAGGTGAGCCGCATGCTCATTTGCCCCCTCTTCTATAAAAAAAGACGCATGTGAGAAGATTTTTAATGGTATCTCGAAAACAGTAATTAGACGCAGCTGATTAAAGTAATCTCAAACTACTAGTCTTCCAATTAAAACTAAGGGAATTCATAGATTCGTGAATGAATAAAATAGTCAAGATTGAAAATTTCGCGTAAATGTTAGAAACGTCATTCAGCATTTTCGACAGTCTTTCTCGAATGTCAGAAATCACTACAGGAAATGCAGAGGTAAGAAGTAAGGAGAGAATAAAACTTTAGTGAGTATACTTATTTATTGCAGATTTACAAGGGCATCCGCACCAAAGTCGTTGCTTTAGACAAAGTATCTTTAAAGTTTTACAAGGGCGAGATCACAGTACTTATTGGACACAATGGAGCAGGAAAAACAACGCTTTTGTATATTATTGCAGGTTATTTAAAATTGTTATTACTAACTATAACAAATATCGAAATATCGAGTCGAATTTATAAAATAAATATTATAACTTATTTTATAAATTCGACTCATTATACTTTACTACTCATTAGACTTATACTTTACTCTATTATATATTTTGATTGTATTGAACGACTTGTCGATTGTCTCTAATTTAAGTTAATCTAAGTTGTTACTAAAATCAGTCACGGAAGCTGAAAATATAGAATATATTAACTTATTTTATAGAATGCTGCTGACCTTCATGTGGCATATTCCGCCAAGATTAGTTTTGTTTAGTGGCTAAATCACTTTTATTAATTTAGTTTGCCTAAAGTAATTATCGAATTGTTTAATCCCAATGGCCAATTATAAAAATTCCAATTAAAATAGCTATGTCATTGGGGTTAACAATCAAGCAGTTTTACTTTAAAAACTTGAAACCAAGCCAAAAACTCGGACAACTTGTGTGGCTTCGTCTTCATCGCCTTGAGAATCTACCATTTATGTAGGTTGTAGTTTATCTATTTACATTATTATTAGTATAATTCTAATTTATTTTTTAATGTGTTATACTAACAGGTCTATTAATTTTATTTTCTAAGGAATGCTAAAGCAATCGTCTGGTAACGTTGAAGTCGAAGATTTTGACACAGTTTTACAGCAGGCAAAGCTAAAAAGAAAAATTGGACTGTGCCCCCAACGTAACATCTTTATAAATGATTTAACAGTAGAAGAGCATTTGATATTCTTCTCTAAGGTAAACATTGAAAAATATTGTTACTTTGAATTGCGTATACATTATTCTTTTGTTGGAAGAATCCTTTGTTGAGTAAACATCTCGCCCGTAGCACGAATAACTAGTCTTAATCTTAAACGCATACAGACAAAATGGTGATATTGCTAAATATCCCGTAAATTTTATACGTGGTAGAGCCATGCTGCAATTTTATAAGTAGTATAGTTGTAGCACGAATGGGTCGGATCGACCGGGGAAGGACCACACTCTCACAGAATACCAGCGTGAAATAGTATCTTAACGCTGCTGTGTTTCGTATGGTGAGTGTAGAGACCGGAGACCCTTTTTACTGGAAGCTAGGCATTCCATCTCAGTCAGTCCTCACGGGTGACAACGCATCTGCATTTTGATTCGTAATCGAGGGTAGATGTAGATGTCTATTGGCCACAGCAACTACTTACCATCAGGTGGATTGTGTGCTTGTTTGTCACCCAATTCTATAAAAAAAAATAGTTGCACCGCTATCCATTGGAGACAATGAATTCTTTTGCCTATTTATTTAAACTAACTCTAAAGTGGACAGAAAATAAGCTTGATTTTTATATTTTACTGTTATATCTTCAAATGCCAATTTAATAATTATTATATATAAAATTAGTTCCCGGCGCGTTGCTGCGAAACAAAAATGTTGTGGAAATATTATTTTAAATTTGGAGGAGTTGGGTATATTGTTTAACTAGGAATAGTAATGATGATGTTATACAACTTTCTTACAAATTTTCCGAATAGATACGCGTGTTACTTAGTGTAAGTTAATTGTACAATGCTTATAACAAGCGCAGGGCATGAGAGGAAAACGTTTGACCACAATCTAGGTGAATGGTATGGTAGCGCATAAAACACAAATAAACAAACATTGAATTTTTATACAGGGTTATTTTTCAAAGAGTCGCTAAATTTAAATCTTAATATCAAAGTACCCGGATGACCGAGCTTTGCTCGGTTTTTTTAAGTAACATTTATATAGTTTTTGATCTTATTGACATAATGGAAAAAACTGAACTGGTTATTTGAATAAAAAATCATGAGTACAATTAGTTTAATTAAAATTTTCGTATTTTTAAAAAATACTAAGAAAAGGGCTTGAAATAATAGATTTTCTCACAAAAGAAGGGAACTTGAAAAAAAAGGAATAAAGTCGGACCCAAGACGGGACGCGAACCACGGAACTCCGATATCACTTCCGAACAACATCCCATCTTAGCTATTACGATCATTGGTAATCTGTCAAAATTTACCTTCTTATATTGTAGCAGTTTTTTATTGTCTGAAAACACGGACAAAAGGACATTTTCTAAAAATAAATCCTAGCTAGGTCGATTTATTGCCCCCGAAACTCCCTGGACACTAAATTTTATGAAAATCGTTGGAGCCGTTTTCGAGATATTTATATATTTGACCTTGATTTGATTGCAGTTTTTAGTGCAAAATACGCATTTAAATCTCGTTTCATCATAAGAAGCCAAAGTCAAAATCTTATTCAAAATTAACTGTACCTCACCAAGGATTTAAGATGATATTGCGATTGGAAGAAATCTAGCAACTTAAAAAAATATTTACTAGTTTTTAAAATTTACAATACGAACTGCTAGCATTTATTCAAAATTAGGCGCATGTAATGGACGAGGTTTCCCTTACAAGGTTATGCTGTGATAGCTTTTCTGATAGTGAAATAGTGGCTGCAAAAAAGCTGTTATTTAATTCTACCCCAGAATCGAAGCGCAAAACTCGCAAAAATAAAGTTAATTTTTACCTCGAGACATTGATGATATTGTATGTCTCTTTAAAACTATCGATCCTGAACTAGTACCCATTTTTGTTGCTCGTGATATTCGAAAGTTACCACCAATCACGTTTGACCATATAGATGTACCGCAGCTATTAAAAGATATTATTATGCTAAAGTCTGAAATAAAAGCTTTAAAAACTGATAGCGCTAGGCTAAGTTAGCTGTAGGACCTAAAAACGGAGATAGATAATCTAAAATAAGCATCAATCATTTGCAATAAGTTTGATTTTGTTAATAGAAAAAGAGGCAATTTCACAACGGATTTACAAAAATATGATAGTGGCCCAATGGCATTGCAAAATTATTCTCAGGAGATTCCAAGTAAAAACAAGTCACGTACGTCTTTAACATCACAAAATAATGTTAACTTTTCTCCCCCAAATGTAGGTATGCAACAAAATGTTTCATCAACTCCGCAGAGAAATAACAATAGCGCATAGCGATTAGCTGGCATTACGCATGCAAAAAATATGAAGGAATTGTGTAGTGCAATCTCGCCCACGCAAGTAAAGAAAGCTAATGAATTAGATCGTGTTACTAGCAAAATGAATAAACGGTGTATGTCCACTACTATTTGTTCAAATACTACGAACTCGATTGTAAACCAAGAGCTCTCATCAGATCGTTAATCTAATGAGCGGATAGCGTCGAATAGTATGGAAGTTGGACGTAAAAAAGTAGTGGGTGAAAATTGGACACAGGGTGGGAAAAGCAGATGTTGGACCTGATGGAAAATTTAAGGCAGCAATAATCAAAATTCCTTTGTTCATTTCCAATGTGTCAAAGGACACAAAAGAAAGTAATAATAATAATAAAAAAAGGCGTAGGGAAGTGACGACCCCATCGCTCACTGACGAAACAGTTAAGTGACAAAACTGCTACGTCGGTGCAGTCAGTCAGCGCCTTGCCAAGAGGTGTGAGCGCCGTGCCTTGGCAGTACTCAGGGTGCAAAGGCCCGTTTGTGCTTACGGCCGTACAATGATACAATGAAACGGTGCCGGGCCTGGGCGTTTCCCGTTAATTGGCGCCCAAAAATGGATGATGAATATGATTAGAAAGCGTATAGGGCCGCTGCCTGGGGGTCGCCGGGGCGCGTCTGGAGCTGGCGCTGGACGCGGCAGCATGCGGGCCGACAGCCAAGTGCGAGGAGCTGCAAGATCACCTAGCAGCCCCACGCATCCATCATCCCCACCAGACGGCTTGATGTCGGCAGGGTCCTCTCGGACTCGGCAAGCGGCATCCGCCGCTGGTGGAGTGCGCCGCGTGCGTTGCACAAGGGATATGAACGCAAACGCATTGCGGGCGTACTATAGGGCGAAAGGGGAAGAAACTGCGGGGATAGCGTATCGGGCTCGGATGCATTGCTTTTTTGCTGAGCTGGAGCCGTCTATTCCCGTCACGGAACAAAACCTGGCAGACCGAGTTCGGTACATCATGCGCTTGAAAATATTTGATGATGCCGAGCTCGAACGACTACGACGTGAGGCCATTCCCTCATCGAATGAATTGGCTACGGCTGGGGATGCGGCTCCTCAGGCGACAGACCAGCTGCCCCGCGTAGAAGCCGTCATGGATCTTCCAGTTGTGGTTGAATCAGACGATGATGAAATGATCTCCCACGAACTAGAGCAAATGAGGAGTATATTGGAAGAGGCGATTTTGGAAACGCGCAGCATGCCTCTCGAAAATCGACCGCGACTTCCCCGCACACCCCTAAGCAAGCGAAATCGGGCTGTCGTGAGGGCTCTTAACCCAATGCTGGTAACCTATTTGGAAGCCAGCCGGGACCTTTGCGAGACGGACTCAGTTCTTTTTGGCACCGTAGTGGCAGCTTGCCATATTATTGGCGCCAAACTTCCCATAGCTGGACGCGCTACTAAACAAAGTAGCGCCATCCCAGCCTGGAGAAAAAGAATTGAGGACCGTATCGCAAAGGCAAGGGCCCTTATCGGCAGACTGATAAGCTTCAGGTCGGGTAATAATAGACCAAGGGTTGTGCGCACCGTTAGAATGGCGTTTGCTGGGACAAATATCAGTTTGTCCCAGCCGGATATCACGCAGAAACTAACGGAGCGCATAGACGACCTGAAGCAAAAGATTGCTGCTTGGGGGAAGCGGATTCGCCGATTTACCGAGAGGTCAAGGCGGTTCAACTAGAATCGTCTCTTCCAGAGTGATCAGAAGAGGCTCTTCAAATCATTGGAGCGACCAGAGGTATGTGGAGCGGGCCCAGGAACCGGATCAGGCTAACACTGTCGCATTTTGGCGTGGCCTGTGGTCAGAGCCCGTAAACCACAGCGAGGGCTCTTGGACGAAAGTTGTGGCGAGTCAGTGTGCGAGTATTACGCCCATGGACCCCGTCATCATAACGCCGGATGACGTAGCTGAGGCGGTCCGTAGAGCCCCGAACTGGAAAAGTCCGGGACTCGACAGACTGCATCACTACTGGCTGATGGTGTGTCACGCTGTGCTCGCCCGTCAGTTTCAAGAGGCTCTCAACCAGAAGTCGCTCCCTAGCCTCTTTACTACTGGGATCACTCATTTGGTTCCTAAAGACCAGGTTACCACAGACCCGAGCAAATACGGGCGGTATTTTACATTTTATTTTACATTACGTGTCTACCCACCATATATAAGACACTGACATCCATTTTGAGCGCAAGAATGCAATGGCAAGACCCAGCAGTACTTAGAATTTCCGATCGGGAGGCCGTATGGAAGGAGAAGGAGCACCACCACCCTGTAGTACCTCCCGGGTACTACAGGGCTCTACATGAGCCCTTCGTAGATACAGTCGCCTCCCTCAACTGGCTACGTTTCGGTGACCTATTCGAGGAAACCGAGGGTTTTGTCTGTGCAATACAGGATCAGGTTATTAAGACCAACAACTATCGGAGATACATCCTAAACCATCGGCACCATCGACATTTGTCGAGCTTGTCGCCATCCCGGTGAGTCACTTAGGCATGTCAACTCCGGTTGTTCGGCGCTTTCTAACTGTGAGTACTTGCACAGACACAACCTAGCAGCCAGAATTCTACATCAGGAGCTCGCTCTGAAATACGTTCTCGTGGACCGGAAATTGCCGTATTACAAGTACTTGCCGGAAGCCGTGCTCAAAAATGACCGCGCCAGGGACCGGGCCATTATCACTGACAGGACTATTCTTGCGAATAAGCCTGATATTGTGCTGATGGACCGGGCACAGTCAAGGATATTTTTGGTCGTCATTACTATTCCGTATGACGAGAACCTCGTGAAAGCCGAAACAGATAAGCGAACAAAATATCTGGACCTGGCTCACGAGGTGACTGACATGTGGGGTGGTCTGTCGGCCGAAATTATTCCTGTAGTCGTCTCTGCGAATGGGCTAATCCCAGTCAGCATCTCGGGTCATCTGAGGCGACTGGGACTCCGTGACGGACCGCTCTGGGCTCAAATGAAAAAGGCGGTGCTCCTCGATACCGCCCGCATCGTCCGCCGGTTTCTTTCCCTTTCCCCCTAACCGTCGGCCGTTTGGTCTCCCCTGCCGTAGGCCTCCATCTGGTTGGGCTTTTATTTATTTATGTATTATTTAATATTTATTTATGTTAGTATATTAAATATATATTTATGTATATTTATTTTTTCCTTTTATGTATTTATCCAGCCCAACCAGATGTGATTACTCTATCAATGACCCCCACATAATAATAATAATTTATTGTTTCTCACATAACTTTTACAAACAAATCATGTTGAAGCTCTGTAGCTTATGTAGCCGTGGTAGTTGAAAACTGTGTTACAGGCTACAGCATCTTCCCCGTTTCAGTGACACATGGTTGTAATATTATAGCATATATTAAAAATAAAACGCGGGAAGAAACGACCTTATTTAAAATTAAGTTATTTTAAATTAAAATAAGTTATTTTAAATTAAATTAATTATTATAAATTAATTAAGTCAAGATAACTTTATTTAAAGCCTACTGTCAAATTTTCTACGCGTGTAGTCTGTGGTCGAATTTATCACAGAGGGCTGTTGACGCCTTACGCGTCCAGTACAATAACGCCTTCAGGGTCTTGTTGGGGCTACACCGATGTTGCAGTGCATCAGGCATGTTTGCAAAAGCGTATACGAATGACTACCACGCCATTATATGAAAGAAAATAGTCTCGTTGCTCGGTAGGGTGCGGGCTAGCTCCAACTCTATCATGAAAATAATTGCCGATGGATATGACTCGTTCATTTTTAAGCAATATTACCACCTCCGTTTAGTTGATAAGGCACTTGTATTTAAGAATTAGATTTAGGTACAAACATAAATTATAAGTTTTATATTTACTAATATATTAAATGGATTATTATGAATATCTGAAATAAAAAAATATTATTATATTATTATTATAATACCATTATGTAAAATTACGTTTTTGATTCAGCTCAGAGGTAAGAATATGGAACAAGCAAAAATATCATCTCAAGAACTTATGAATCAGCTGAATTTAGCTAATAAAGCATTGTGGACTACGTCCGACCTACCTGAAGCCACCTTGCGGCGGTTGCAAATTGGCTGCGCGCTTTGCGGGAATCCAAGTTTAGTACTGCTGGACGAACCTACATCTGGGCTTGATGTGGAATATAGAAGGGAAATCTGGGATATGCTGCTCGTAAGCACTTTTTTTTTAATTTTTAGTATTGAAAATTACATTGACTTATATATTACTAGCGTAAGGACCGGGCCGACCAAACAACTAAAACGGACCAGTGCGCTGGCCCTAAAATTACAGTTAGGGCCAACGCGAATCGGTCGACAGTGGTGCGCGCGCAGGACAGATTTGCCTGTCATAAATATGTCTAGTTGCGTGGTAAATTATTGCAAAAATTACGGTACAAAGATTTTAAAAAAACATAGGATATCGTATCATCGGTAAATAACCTTATATTAATTTTGTTATAATTAAATTATTATATAAACACATTTTTAAAGTTTTATTTTACAGTTAGTTTAGTTACGTTACCAAGATTAGGTCAGGGTTGGATTCAGACCCTCAAAAATATTATACATGGAAAATAAAATTATACTATTTAAAAATAATTATATCACGTTTGACGTTTCATGTTTCTTTTTTTGTGTTAGATTTTGGCGTCAAGCATCTAGTTTATCTATACGTTTCGTTTTTTGGCGGGTTTATTTTTATTTATGTTTAATTTTTGTCTAAAGAACTTAATGTAAGTTAAAATTTGAGTATTGGTACTTAATATATTTTATATTCAATGAGGGGAAAACGAAAAGAGTACAAAAGTAACCATATCTGCATAATTGAATCTGAAAATCTGATTCATAAAATATTTTGAAATTCTGTTTTCAAACCGATTGCTTCCGGAGCTTAGAGTTTTTTTCGTGGCAGCCCCTCATTATAGTTGTATCAAGGATGCAACATAAATGCGTCCATTGAGCATAGATTGACCAGAAAGGGAGCTAATTCTAATTTTATTAAAAAAAAAAAAAAACGTGGTACTCATGTACAATATAGAAATTCTGGGTTAATATTGAAATTTAAAAGGATTCAATAACAATACAAGTCAACCTTTAGGTAAAGTTATGGTATTTTCACTTAGTATTATTACGATACTATGTACTACAAACTATGAAATAATGGTACAATTAGGATAATTATACTACTAGGCTGCGCTAAAAGTATCGGGAATGGAATATTTCCACTGTTCCTGTCATATTAAAATCTTTTTAATTGAAAACTCCTTGGTTTGAAAAATTGAATACCATTTATTTATTTAAAAAAAAGATTCTCGGTCTTGTCACAAGGTTTTGTCAAACTTGTTTAGTCGTTGAGAAAATGGAATTGACTCGAGAAAATTCAAGAGCGATGATTTATTATGACTTTCGAAGTGGTTTAACACAAAAACAGTGTGTTGACTGGATGATTTCTGCATTTGGTGATGAAGCCCCATCCAAAACCACAATTTATCGCTAGTTTGCTGAATTTCAACGTGGACGTGTCAAGCTCAGTGATGATCCCCGTCAAGGTCGTCCAAAAACTGCAGTCACCCAAGAAAACGATGATGCTGTGCGTAAGCTGATTAAGGAAGATCGACATGTGATATACCGCGAAATTCAGGCAACTTTAGACATTGGCATGAGTCAAATACAAATAATCTGGCATGAACAATTAGGTGTAAAAAAGTTGTTTTCCCGATGGATACCGCATTCGCTCTGTGAAGAGCAAAAAGCGGCTCGCGTTACTTGGTGCATCAGAATTCTCGAAAGATTCCACGCAGGATCCTTAAATGCCGTATACAACATCGTATCAGGTGATGAATCCTGGATATATGCGTACGAACCCGAAACAAAAAACCAGTCACAAGTTTGGGTGTTCGAAAATGAGTTAAAGCCAACAAAAATTGTTCGTTCACGGAGTGTTGCAAAAAAAAATGGTGGCCACGTTTGTCTCCAAAACCGGCGATGTTACGACTATTCCTCTTGAGGGATAAAGAACAGTTAATGCAGAATGGTATGCTAGCATTTGTTTTACACAGGTCGTTTCTGAACTCCGTAAAGAGAACTGCAACCGCCGCATCATCCTCCATCACGACAGTGCGAGTTCTCACACCGCACACTGAACAAAAGAGTTTTTAGTGCAAGAAAACATAGAATAATTAGACCATCCGCCGTTCAGCCCCGACCTAAACCCTAATGATTTCTATACTTTCCCTAAAATAAAGAATAAATTGCGTAGATAGAGATTTTCATCACCTGAACAAGCTGTGGACGCCTACAAAACGGCCATTTTGGAGACCCCAACTTCCGAATAGAATGGTTGCTTCAATTATTGGTTCCATCGTATGGAAAAATGTGTCAAATTTCGCGGAGAATACTTCAAAAAGCAATAAATACATTTTAAATAGTAATGTTGTGTCATTTCCTTGATTCAAGAAAATTTTAAGTGCCGCCCTCGTACGAAATCCGACCCTGGTTACGTCGTGTTTTGATATGACGTTTGTTTTATGACAGATGCGCTACTTTTTCTTGTATGAGAAAATTATGAGTGAAATATTTAGATGGGCCTATCCTTCCTTTTGAAAAATTAAACAAAGTGAAAGTTAAGTCCTCCAGGCTGATTTTGAAATTAATGTTTTTGAAGGCTGTCAAATGCGAAACACTCACTCTTTTCGCATATTAATAAGTCGGCTATATTAAAATATCATTGAATCATTTGCGTATGCTTTCTGAGTAGTTAAATCAGAGAGACCGTAATATCTCCGACAAAAATTAAAACGGCAAATATTTTCGTGCGCCATCTGCTGAGATGGTAATCGAAGCTTCGGAATGAAAACGTTCATCATAGCAATACCACAGCACTAAGCAGCCGCGTTCTGTGGCAGTATTATTAGGTGGCGGTCTTGGCCTAGGAGTCCACCTGTGTAGGTAGGTACCACTATCTAAAATTTGATATTTACCTACCTAAATAATTACAGACACTTAGCGCTGTCCGGCGGGAACATACGGAAAGCATATGAGTGCATAGTACTTTTTTTGATACTTAAAGGCTGAAATAAAAGTGTTTTTCATGCTATTAATTATAACTATGATACAAGTATATGTTTAACGTGCAATCATTATTGACTTTATTAAAATATTGTTTCTAATGATAATATTGTTGTTTAAGATTATGGTTATGATTACATACCTGTGAGAAAATATTTTTGTAGGGTACCATCATTTAGTGTTTCTTCTTTTATATTATTTCCAACTGATACCTCATAGATACATGACTCTTATGGTGATAACAATACTTTTTAAAATGTTTCGGACATTCTTGGTATTAGATCGAGTTAGTTCATTCATGTAATCTATGTTAATTATTATTAGTCTATCAATGACGGTGTGAACGTCCGCACGTCACTTAATTTACAGGCCCACTGAAAACCAGCGCTGTAGTCTCATATCGGTTGCGGCATTAAGCTGAGTGCGGTCTGTTTGCCGTGTGCGCCACACACACTTGTGTGCGTAAAATGTGTGATGTGTTTAATATTTTTTTTATTCTTTTTTTTTTCTTTTTACTATGTATTTTTTATGTTTATGGTTTAAATGTACATGTGGCGTATTTGAGCAATAAATGTTTTCTTTCTTTCTTTCTTTCTAATTTTCTTTTTCATAGGCATTTCACCTTATTCTTCATATGTGACAACGCAAATTTACGCTTCTTTTTCAATGCAGCTACAGGTGTCCATGAACTATAATAGCCATTTACCATCAGTTAGACTCAAAGATCGTTTGTTATTTCAGTTTTGTTAAGAAAATATATAATTTCTGGGTGACTGGGCTCACCGAGCAGACTTATCAAAATAAAATGTTTCATCCATATGCGCGAAACCTATTGCATATATTATGAATATATATTGGAAATGCACTTTTAAAGTATTATAAAAACGCTTACTTTTCGTAGAATGACTAAAAAAATATTCAAAAATAAAATTTATCAATTTTTTTATATTGTATTGCGGATAAGTTGTTAATAATAAAACAAATAATGGATAGAAAGAAAAATAACCCGGTAAACTTCCTTTCTTGATAGAGTTGAGTTTCTAAATTTAAACAATTTTATATTTGTTTCACATTCTAAGATATTTTTCCTGTTAATACATTTTTGTTTACCTTTTTTTTACTGTTTGTTTTTTTTGTTTGTTTTGGGTTCCGTAGTTACTTATCACAATACGTGAATTTTGAAGGAGCTCTTGATGACATGAACATATTAAGTGAATACATGGGAGGTTCTCGCTATTCACTTATTTAGTTTAAGCAACTGTGGGCTAAAATATAAAATGGGTTTGCAACATAATATATAGTACCCAGATGACCGAGCTTTGCTCGGTTTTTTTTTTGAAATTACGTTTAGATACAAATTACATACTGATGAATAATATTTTTTGATCTTATTGACATAATAGAAAAAACTGAACTGGTTATTTGAATAAAAAATCATGAGTGCAATTAGTTTAATTAATATTTTTGTATTTTTATAAAATACTAAAAAAAAGGGCTCTAAATAATAGATTTTCTCACAAAAGAAGGGAACTTGAAAAAAAAAGGAAAAGTCGGAGCTAAGACGGGACGCTAACCAAGGCATTACGATTTTGCGACCACTCCACATACAGGTATTTGCACGATCTACGCGGCCAAAATAAAAAAACAAGGTAAATAAACAAAAAAACCATTTTTCAAAAAAAAACTATTTAAAAAAAACAAATTTAAAAAATATAATATTTAGATCGCTGTATTGGTACAAAGAAAAAAAACATAATAATGCTAAGTTTCTTCGTCGCTCTCTGATAAATTTTCAGATAATATGTTGGATTCCGCAGATACAAAAATGACTAAGGTTTCAGGCAAAAATGTTTCTGCTTTCCTTTTCTTTACAGTTCGCATGCTACTGAGCAAAGAATCTGAACTGAGCAGAAGGCGATTAAAAATATCCTGATTACAATCTTTTCTGGAAAAGGAGAATGACCAAAAGTGGTACTAAAAAGTCTCGCGCATCAAGACTAAATAATAGTAATTAGTGTCCTAATTTTTTATGGCATTACGCGTCCGGGGATTTTATTTTTGAACAGGGATTTTTTTTTGTGTTTAAAAGTATGAATATTGATATTGTATTATTTTTATGTTTATTTAACTTGCTTTCTTTACAGCTCCGGAGTCTAGCCCTTCTGAGCATATAATATCTTTCGGAATCTTCATTTTTATATATTTTTTCTTCACAATATGCTGATGCGTCACATTGCGAAGTTCTTAGGAGATTTTGACGATAGCTCAACCGCTCCATGCTCCATTTAAAACAATATCCATACGGTTTTAAAAAATATATAAAATTGAAGATTCTGAAAGACTAGAACCCAGAACCGTAAAACCAGTTAAATAAAAAATCTTATAAATGACATTTAAAGTGCATCTGAATAGGAGTAATAGTGTTCTGTGGCATCTGACCTTTGTGCTGACCACGCGCTATCTTTGTTCTAACAAATACAACTGTCTGTGTTTTGAGAGTTGAGATTAGTTAGTTATTGAATCGTGTGTTGAGAAGTAGAACTTGTTAGTATTTTGTGAACTTTTTTTCTGTATATTTAATTGTGCAAATATGTCGAGTCGTGGAGTCGACCGATTGACATCGTCAGTCACCCGGCATAACAAACGATGTATCAATTGTTCATTTTTGATGCCCAGAAACCTATCTATACATTCATTGCAACAAGCATCTACTTCAATGATTAATTTGTTACAGTCGTGGATAACTCCTACTCAGGTAAGCAGAACTTATTTTACTCTTTGAATATATACCTAAGAATGTCAAATCTCTACCATCGTACCGTCTTACAAAACATTTTTATAGAATGAAAGAAATATTTATTTTAGACAGCATAGGCAATAACAAATGATTAACAAAAAAGTAACCTGTTTGAGGTCATAAAAGGCATTACTCTTGATTGCACATTTAAATGTAACTTCTGTGAATATGTTACAGAAGACGGATAATGTCAAAAAGGTTAAAAACACACCTTTTAATTCATGGTTTTTATTGCAGTTGTCTTCAGAATGTGTGCTTGTACAGAGTGTTTGACACTGCTTCAAGATCAAGCAAACACAATTAGTGAAGGATTGCCTGCTTTTGGTCATAGAAGTATATGTTTTACTTGTGGCAATTCTATTCTACGTACAACTAGAATATATCCTGTAAGACAAGATCGACAAGAGAGAAACATTTTAGTTAGACATGTTCCGCTGCATCTGGTAAATATTTTTATTTATGTTGCAATATAAAAAAAGATCAACTTCTTATTAATGTTCTTATTTTCTCCAGTCTTCTACAGTTTTTAGTTATAATACTGCTGTGTTTCGTATAGTGGGTGTAAAGAACCAGAAATCCTTTTTACTGGAAACAAGGCATTCCACCGTAGTCCTCAGGGGTGACAATGCATCTGCATTTTGATTTGTAATCGAGAATAGATGTAGATGTCTATGGGCCACAGCAAATACTAATTACCATCAGGTGGACTTTATGCTCGTTTGTCCCTATTTTATAAAAAAAATGTATCCCTAACATTTACATCACATTACAATACACACTTTTATCAAGTTTATATCCCATTGTGAAATGTTTCATATTACATGTTTAATTGTGTTATTTTTAGATCTCAAGATTGGAAAGAGTATGTGCTGCTTGCTGGAGATCAGCTACAAGAGAATTTCGTGATCAGCACGACTCCAATCGCCCTAGTCTGTCAGAAGCTATTTTGCCTGATGTTGGATCTAGTAGCGATCTCAATATTCCTGAGCCGCCCCCTCTTCCACAACAAAACCTACACACTACTCATGTTAGATCAAATCCAACAATTACGTCTTCTGTGTATAAGCGTGCTGCTAGCACATCCAAACACTGTATATTTGTTAATTGTTTTGAAACAGAGCGTTTACTAGTACCCTCATCTAAAAAAGATCTGTTATTACTTAATAATAAATTCTATGTGCCACCAGCAGCACGAATCTGTCTACACCACCTGGATCATGGCCGTTGGAGCGAATTAACTTCCCAGCTAAAAGATTTTACTGGTAGTCAATTTGACTCAATTATGAGAATAATGCAGTGACCTGCCTATTACCACATAGATTTCTCAAGTATTTTAATTATGCCTACATATTTGTGTCACTTTTGGTTAGGCATGAACTCAGATCACTTTTATGATTTGTTAAACTGTATCCCAAGTCTAGCAGGACAAGTACCAAATGCCACGGTTGCTTTAAGAATTTATTTAGTAAAGCTTAGAACTGGTGATAGTAATGAAAGGTTGGCAACTCTCTTTAATAAATCTCGTGTCACCTTAGAACGCTTAATGAATAAGGCCAGAACATGTTTAATTAATGAGTTTGTTCCATTGTATTAAGGATTTAATCATATGAATGTAGAAGATGTTGCTTCTAGAAATAGAATAATACCAGAAGGATTATTTGGTAATCTTGATTTGCCACCTAATTCTAAACCAGCAATAGTGATATGTGATGCTACTTATGTATTTATCTAAAGTAGTTCTAATTACTTATTTCAAAAACAAACATACAGTTTGCAAAAACTGGATAATTTAGTCAAACCATTTATGATAGTGTGTTGTGATGGTCATATTGTGGATTGTCTCGGACCATACAAGGCGACAACTAATGATGTTACAATTACAAGTGTAAACTTACGTAATGAGGAAGCTTCTTTAAGATGATTTTTCCGAAGAGGTGACATTTTCATACTTGATAGAGAATTCAGGGATGTAATTAATGAACTCCGGGGATATGGCTTTGTAACACATATGCCAGAGTCTCTACTTGAGAATGAACATCAATTAACAACCCAGCAGGCAAATCAGTCTCGTTTTGTTACTATGTGCCGCTGGGTTGTAGAAGTGGTTAATGGTAGGTTGAAAAGGGATTTTAGACTCTTTCCTCATGTTTTTAACAATAGAGCGGTTTAGCACCCAAAAGGATGATTATAGAATCTCTCGTGCCCTAATTAATAAGTTTCATGTTGTTATAGAAGACCCACCTGAAGCCATGGAATATGTAAGAATTGCTAAGAATAGGCTTTCAGTAGAGAACCATTTGGCAACTTATGTTGAACAGGCAAATCTCAATAGAAGGAGTGTGAATTTTCAGTTGATTGAAAGCAATAATCCACAATTCAAGGGCTGCAAAATTCACTTCTCTCGTATAGTCCAATTTATTAAAATCTTTCGAGGTTGCTCCACAGATGTAGCACCTACTTGTAGACTTTGTGCCTGTGGCTGCATTGCAGACTTTTCCGTCTACCATATTCATTATAAAACTGTGCTTGACTGAGAATTTTTTCCCTGCTATGACTAAAGACCTAATAGCGCTTTTAACGTGTCTTATTTCTTCTTCAGTGACATCATTAGTTTCCTTGATAAATTGGAATCTTATTGGTCTTCAAACGAATTGGATGGTCGACCTGGCCATTTTTGTGAAGTCTCAACAACAGGTATTTCAAAAGTACCTTCCATCCAAGACCGGTTGTATTTAAAAAAAATTATCTTCTTGATAATGAGCTTTGGTCCACCTTTATTTCATTTCTGATTTGAAATGGGCAAAACCACGTTTCAAACTAACAATTTGGTCTTCATTGTAACCTTCACATGACAAAAGTTTATCTTTTAGAAAATTTAATTTGGCATCTAAATTAAGCAAATTTTCGTTCTTCATGAGGTCAAACAAGTATTGTCGGGTCACAATCCTTACTCTTGATGTACCCGCTGAACCTAAAACAAACATATATTATGTTAAGTCGTTAACAAATATTTCCAATTTTAGACAAGTTCCGCTGAATATTTTTAATCCCTCTAAACAGTATTTATTCGGACGTTTTCGGAGACGTTTTTGATGGTATTTATAAGAAAAGGATTAAATAATAACCTATAATAAAAACTATAGCCCGATCTACCCCGATACATAAACAAAAACACTAGCAAAGAAAAAAGATTGTAGGAAATCACGGTATGAAACTTCATACTTGTTTGAGGTTTTTTATTATAAAAAAAGTAATGTAGTTTGATAGTTGATCATAACTTTATTTATGTAGTTTGTAAGTTTCTTACCTTGTCTATCAGAATCCATCACTTTCAATTCGTAGGAAGAACTTAACCCCATGGCTCTGACAGCGCGCGACATGTTATACTCCCGTTCGCTTGGGACCTTAATGGCGGGAAAATTTGTAAGGTAGAAAATTTTTTGCTATATTGCAAATTTTGCTATATTTTCACTTTGAGACAATATTTATGGATAAAACTTACAGGATTTCTTGTTGAATGTATAAACTATCGAATAAAATTATTTTTGGTTGCTAGAAATTGTAATAAAATACATAAATTACCCTGTATAGCATAGTAGTAGCATATACTTCAATTTTAGTGACAAAATTACTACTAATTTGAATTCTACACTTTTGTTTTTGGAGAAATTTATATGAAAATGTTTGGAAATATGTATATTTTTATGTTTTATATGTTTCCATTCGTTATTCATACCAAAATATTAAAATATTAAAAAATTAAAAAAAAAACAATAATAATAAATTATCTGTATGACATTTAGAACAATATTTCAAAAATAATTATGTGTGAATTTGAAATAAATACAACGTCAAGTTATTTGAAATATGTAAGAAAACTATTTTTACTTACATTTTACACTAAAAATAAATGAGAATTTGAAAAATAACACATTTATGACCCAACCGCCAAAATGGGTCTTCCAGATTTTGAAGTACTTTTGGCAATTTACTTTTCACTTTTTATACCACAAATTACATATCTACGTGTTCACTATATTACAAAGAATATAAATTTTTTTTACTAAGAAACATTGCCAGGTTATGGTTTAAAATAAAAGAGCATATCATTGTCTTTGATACTATTATCTATTGCATATTGTCTTTGGTTTCGTTTTAAAGGAAAAAATAGTTTTTTCATAAGGCAGTACTTATGATCCGACCTGATCTAATTCGACCCGTACCAGAGCCGACGTAAGGTAGGTATTGTATGATCTGATTAGATCGGTAGCCGAGTCAATGGGTAGCATAAAAATTCACTTTGAAAGTTTAATGTTTAGAAAAGCGCCGAGAACAGACGTACACTAGGTGAAACGGTCAAATTCCGACTGACGCTACAGGTGCGGGGTGAGCGGTAGCTGGTAGCTAAAGCACGGGTATTGTTCCCTGGTTCATACTCTAGATTGTGCAAATACCTGCGCTCGCTATCCACTTGAGCTATTACGATCATTAACTCAGTGTCAAAATTTACCTTCTTATATTGTAGCAGTTTTTCATTGCCTGAAAACACGGTCAAAAAAAATTTTCTAAAAATAAATCCTAGTTAGATCGATTTACTGCCCCCGAAGCTCCCTGGACACAATATATATATATATATATTAAAGATACTTAAATTTTTATTAGTAGGGGAAATTGGGTTTTCTGCGTCACTTGCTTTCGCTTCGCTCTAGCTATATGCCGCTGAAGGCCCCCAATTATCTCCAGTAGAGAGCCAAATTTTTAGTCTAACCAAATTAGGGCCTACATGATCGAAGTTCTATCCCGCGAGAACAAGTGTAGTGCTAGCTCCTATTACTTGCACGAGTACAATTATCATTACCTTATTAGCAAAATCTATTGTGTTAATATAATACCTCTACAATTCCTTTTATTTATGGTCAGGTATTACAAAATGTCAAATTAAAGTGTGCGAAGCTGACCTTATGTTAATGTTTCATTATTGTTTTATTGTTATAGCGAGTGCACGTTGATACAACTTTCGTCAAATATCTATATTGGTGAGTTACATCAGTTTTACTATTCAGTAGAAATTCAGCCGCGATTAACTTTATTTGGTTTTATTATTATTTATTTTTTGACTTCATACTTGTTTGTTAATTGCAGATCATGACCAACACTGGGAAAAACATTGATTTAATTCACTAATCCTTATTACTATGCTCAGGATATAATAAATTTTTATAAAGTAAATTATTACACAGGAGAAGAGCGGCTACATCATTTACCACCAAATAGATTATCTAATAATAGAGAGCAGCAATCCAAATCAAAGAATTGTTCCAGGAAGAGAAACCGTTCTCAAGAATCATCATCATCATCGTACATTATCCGCCAAGATTAAGATAAAGGAGGTCAACGTATAATTAAAATCAGCATTTACGAACTTAATGAGCAAGAAGAAAATGTCATCAACGATCTTAGTGCTAATACAAGTGTTCAGTATGTCGTGGATTCAATGTGTGATGAAGTGGTAGATGCTACAAATTGTCTTATAAAAATGGGTGAAAAATTATGTGAGAACTAGTAATTTACGCATGGGCCTGGAAAATCCCGAGTGGTCAAATGCGACCGCACCCACCCACAGCACTTAAAAACATTAAAACTTTTATTTAGAGACTACTGCTACTGCTGTTATAGCTCAGGTGGGATGTCGGTCGGGTGTGATATCGGAGTTTCGTGGTTCGCGTCCTGTCTCTGGTTCGCCTTTTTTTCCTTTTTTTTTCAAGTTCCCTTCTTTTGTGAGAAAATCTATTATTTCGAGCCCTTTTTTTTAGTATTTTTTTAAAAATACGAAAATTTTAATTAAATTAATTGCACTTATGATTTTTTATTAAAATAACCAGTTCAGTTTTTCTATTATGTCAATAAGATCAAAAAATATTATTCTTTTTTTGATCTTATTGACATAATAGAAAAACTGTTTTTTTTTATTTAATTTGTATCTAAATGTAATTAAAAAAAAACCGAGCACAGCTCGCTCATTGGGCTACTATATATATGTATACACAATAGGTATAGGTAGGTACGTATATATATCATCTATGTCAGAACAAATATGAAATATATACGAAAAAAAGAGCTGTGTTAGTTCAAACTTGCAACGATTTAATCACATACTTACGGACTTCATTTTTAAAAACGAATTTGTTGGGAGCTTTTTTAATGTCAAGAGGGATGTCGTTCTAGAGTCTGATGGCCGTGATGGCGAAAGGGTGAGATAAATAACCAGTACGGTGTAAAGGAGTGAGCAACTTAAGATTGGCCGAGGAACGGAGAGAAAAATTATGAGAATCTCCCAGGTTTTGAAATTTAGATTTCAGGTACTCGGTAGCACATGGATCGTTCAAAATTGTGAAAAGGGTCCAAAGTATTCTAACATATTTGCGTTGACGGATAGGCAGTCAGTTCAGCTGAGCACGAAAAGAAGATACATGGTCGTATTTACGACGATCAGAAATGTATATGATGCAGTTGTTAAGCAGATGATATGTATTAAGATGATGTTGAGACAGGACTGAGCAAAACACATCGACATAATCAATAACCGGTACAATAAGTGACTGGACAAGTAAAATCTTGGTATTGGTGGGAAGAAAGTTTTTAAATCGATTTAGAGATCGCAAAGTTCCAATAGTTTTGCGACTCACCTCCTGTACATGTTTGTTCCATATTAAGCAACCATCACAATTGATGGTAGGGTGGGAATATCTAGTTTAGATAATCATCCTGAGCTACCTAAGATTATCGTTTGGCATTTAGACGGGTTCACGTTTATGCCATACACTGCAGACCATTCTGAGATATACTTCAAATCATCATTTAACAGTGCATGTACATATATATATATATATATATACCCTCTCAGAAATGAGGGGAGGCCTGTGCCCAGCAGTGGGACGTACATAGGCAGAAACTTTACTTTACTTTATGTATATATATATATATATATATATATATATATAGTATATATGTTGTATGTTATTATATATGTTCACGTAGCTATTAGCTACCCGCGTGAAGGAACGTATAGCTGACGTGAAGCACCGACGCTCCGGGAAGTCTGCAGTCTGCGAACATATTCAAGATCGTCCCCACCATTACATTAAATTTGATAAATCACAAATCTTCGCAAAAGAACACCGATGATACGCCGGATGATACGCGAGGCTATTGAAATTAAAAATCTCCAAATTTGAATAGAGAAGATGGATGGGTGCTGCCATCTGCTTGGGACCCTATAATTAACAAAATTAAATCCATCCCAAGCATACCACTGTAAGACTTCTATTATACTATAAGCTCGTTTTGCGTAAATCGGACCAAAAATTAATATTCAAAAACTGAAGGTAGCCGGACTAACTATAACATTGGGACAACAAACATCTCAGTTGTAAAGCACCCGAAACGTCGGGATAATAAAAATAAGTTAAAGTGGTAATTAAATGCGATAAAATCCGTAAATAATAGTTTTATTCAATCCTATTTTATACCCTAAATTATCAGACTAAGCCCACATAAAAGTATTTTAATTTGTTGTATTTTTAAAATATATAATAATAAATATTTCATTTGATAACTTTAACATTGATTCGTATTTATGTAACTCATAAGGAATATTATTGGTTATTAACATTCAAACTTTGGATGCTAATATGTAAAAATCGCTTTACTTAATTGTTTGCGCACGATACTAAACCGACACTTTGCTGACGATGGCAACCGGATAACACCAGCGCCATGAAGTCGCTGTAACTAGAGATGAAATTATTATACAGGTAAACGCGTGTATTTCGTACTAATTCATGGAACTCAATGGCATTCCAATGGAATTGCTAAATTCACAAGTGATGTTTAGCAATTCCATAAGAAGAGAGTGACTGGAGGCGGATAACTTGAGGTCATCCATATAGAAAAAGTGGGTCACTTTTCTTTTTCGTTTTCTTTTTCCTTTCCGTAGCTGAAATCCCCTCCCAGAGCCCTCCGGTAAGGTACTGAGAGAGTTCAGAGAGAGGCAGAACCAGATTAGACTCAGACAATCGCCCTGGAAGATACCCCTTCTTATCCTTATACAGTATATCCTTATCCATCCGCTCGCCCAGATGACAAAGGATCGTAATCCACTGCCCCATACACTGCTCGAGGAAGTCTCTAACTGTACAGTCTATCTTGTACAGCTCGAGGACTCTCTTTAGCCATGTTAGTGCACCGAGTCGAATGCCTTTCTGTGTAGTCTATCCAGGCGGCGGAGAAGTTCCGACGGTTGCGTTTCACCATTTTGCCAATGACCGCGTCAATGAGGAGTGGTTCCTTGGTTCCACGACCACCGCCCCGACATCCATTTTGAGCGCGCGACATCACTTGATTTGAGTCGAGGTGTGGAATCCAAAATGGATGTTAGTGTCTTGTATATGGTCGGTAGACACGTGATGGGTGGTATTTGTTCGGGTCTGTGGTACCCTGGTCTTTAGGAACCAAATGGATGATCCCAGTAGTGAAGAGGCTCGGGAGCGACTTCTGGTTAGAGCCTCTTGAGCCTCTCGAGAGAGACAGAGTGACACACCAAGAACCCCTTCAGCCAGTAGTGATGCAGCCCGTCGAGTCCCGGACTTTTCCAGTTCGTGGCCCTACGGACCACCTCAGCTACGTCATCCGGTGTTATAAGGACGGGGTCCATGTGCGTTATATTCGCACACTGACTCGCCACAACTTCCGTCCAAGAGCCCTCGCTGTGGTTTACGGGCTCTGACCACAGGCCGCGCCAAAATGCTACAGTGTCGGCCTGATTCGGTGCTGGGTCCGTTCCGTTTACCATTGGTCGCTACAATGATTTATAGAGCCTCTTGATCACTTTGGAAGAGACGATTCTGATTGAACCGTGTCGACCTCTTGGTATTTCGCCGAAGCCGCTTTCCCCAAGCAGCGATTCTCTGCTTCAGATCATCTATGTGCTCCGTCAGTTTTTGCGTTATATCCGGCTGGGACAAACTGAAATTTGTCACAAAAAACGTCCACAATTCTTGGCCTGTTATTGCCTGATCTGCATATCAGTCTGCCGATGAGAGCTCTAGCCTTTGCGATACGTTCCTCAATTCTTCTTCTTCATGTTGGGATAGAGCTACTTTGGCCAGTAGCGCATCCAGCCGTGGAAACCTTGGCGCCTATAGTACGGCAGACTGCCAGCGCGGCGCCAAAAAGAATTGAGTCCGTCTCGCAAAGGTCCCGGCTGGCTTCCAAATAGGTCACCAGCATTGGGTTCAGAGCCCTCATGACAGCCCGATTCCGCTTGCTTAGGGCTATGCGGGGAAGTCGCGGTTGATTTTCGAGAGGCGTACTGCGCGTTTCCACAATCGCCTCTTCAAATGTACTCCTTATTTGCTCTATTTCTAGTTCCTGGGTGAATGTTCCATCATCATTTGAATCAGCAATCACTGGTGTATTCACGGCGGCATCCACGTGTGCGGGTTGTTCTGCAACTTGTGGCACCGCATCCTCAGTCGTAGCATTTTCATTTGATGAGGGAACAACCTCAAGTCGTAGCTGTTCGAGTTCGGCGCCATCAAATATATTTGAGCGTAAGATATACCGAACTCGGTCTGCCAGGTTTTGCTCGGTGACGGTAATAGATGGCTCTAGCTCAGTAACAAGACGATGCATCCTAGCCCGATACGTGAAACCTCCAACTTCTCCCCCTTTCACTCTAAAATACGCCCGCAATGCGTTTGTATTCATATTGATGGTCCATCGCATGCGGCGTACTCCACCAGTGGCGGGTGCCGATTGCTGAGCCTGCGTAGACCCTGCCGACACCAAGAAAGCTGGTGGGGATGATGGATGCGAGGGGCTGCTGGGTGGTCGTGCAGCACTTCGCGCTCGGCTGGCGGTTTGTATGCTGTCGCGTCCAGTGCCAACTCCAGACGCGCCCTGGCGACCTCCAGGCAGCGGTCCTTTGCGCAATCTTTTGTGTTCCATCATCCATAGTGGGCGTCATTTAATGGGAGACGCCCAGATCCGGCGTCATTTCATAGTGAGGCTATATGCACCTCGGCACAAATCGAAGGTGCAAGGGCCCGCTTGGCCCTTGCACCTCCTATTTTTGCCGAGGCACGGCGCTCACACCTCTTGGCAAGGTGCTGACTGACTGCGCGGTCGTAGCAGTTTTGTCACATAACTATCACGTCAGTGGGCGATGGGGTCGTCACTTCCCTACGCCTTATTATTATTGGGGGGTATCTATATAGTTTTCTCATCTGGTTGGGTTCTATAAATATATAGTTATAAATAAAAATGAAAAGATAAATATACATAAATATCAATAAAATAAAATAAATACAAAAATACATAAATAAATAAAAGCCCGACCAGATGGAAGCCCTCGCCACGGAAGACCAAACGGCCGAGGGTTAGGGGGGAAAGGGAAAGAAACCTGCGGACGATGCGGGCAGTATCGAGGAGCACCGCCTTCTGCATTTGAGCCCGGAGCGGTCCGTCACGGAGTCCTAGTCGCCTCAGATAACCCTAGAGGCTAACTGGGATTAGCCCATTCGCAGAGACGACTACAGGAATAATTTCGGTCGGCAGACCACATGTCGGGCACTTCGTGAGCCAGGTCCAGATATTTTGATTGCTTATCTGTTTCGGCTTTCACGAGGTTCTCGTCATACGGGATGGTAATATCGACCAAAAATATCCTTGACTGTGACCGATCAATCAGCACAATATCAGGCTTAATCGCAAGAATAGTCCTGTCCGTGATGATAGCCCGGTCCCAGTAGTTATTTTCGAGCACGGCTTCCGGCAAGTACTTGTAATACGGCAATTTCCGGTCCACGAGATCGTATTTCAGAGCGAGCTCCTGGTGTAGAATTCTGGCTACTAGGTTGTGCATGTGCAAGTACTCAGAGTTAGAAAGCGCCGAACAACTCACCGGGATGGCGACAAGCTCGACAGACGTCGAAGTTTATTATTATTATTATTATTATTATTATGCATGATTCTGTTAGTTATAAGCGGGATAACGTAGTATTTTGTTTAAACGAATATAATATTTACAATTAAAGTTTAAAATTTGTTTTAACTGTTATGTATTGATTTGAAACTAAGCCAATGATCTACATTGCAAAAACAGCGCCATCTGTCATAAAAAGTAAAAAGTAGTATATTTGGCCTTCAGTAATCAGTTACTTACTAATAAGTTAAGGCTTTACCTCTAGCGAACGACCTTGAGCGTTTGGTCTATCGACGCTCGCTACAATATATCGCGTAAGAAATCTTCAAGACGCTACTGCCTACTGCTACGAACGTAGTATTATTTTTTCAATATCGTGAACTATTCTATGGAAATAGACACGGCGTCAATGATAAATGTAACTATTTTAATTTTCTTTATTCGGTATATTAGTTGCATTATATTAGAATTATGTATTATATAATTAATAAAGATGACTATTTTGATTATTTTTAACTATATACTATACTGCTAATATTGAATTAGCTTTTTATAGTGTAAATTATAATATTTGTCGAAATATTAATTATGGATTCGAACTTTACATGCTAATGGTGCTTCATTTTTTTGTTATTTTCATTTACTTACATATTGGAAATATACTTGAATAGGTATTATTATTTTATTTAGCTGCTGAATTTTAGGATATGTTTTACCTTGAGGTCAAATATAATTTTGAGGAGCAATAGTTATTACCTACTAATCTTTTATCTGCTATTCCTTATTTAGGAACAATATTAGTAAATTGAGTTTGAGGGAGATTTACTTTTTATAATGCTACATTTATTATTTTAATATTTACCTACTGGGTAGGTAATTATTAAAATAATAAATATAGCATTAGTAACTAAATAGATATATTTTTTTAAATTTTTAAAATTAAAATTTTCGTATTTCTAAAAATTACTAAAAAAAAAGGGTTTGAAATAATAGATTTTCTCACAAAAGAAGGGAACTTGAAAAAAAAAGAGAAAAAGAAAACCGGGACCAAAGCCAAGACACGAACCACGGAACTCCGATATCACGCCCGACCGACATACCACCTGAGCTATAACGACCGTTAGTGATTTGTCGAAATTTACCTTCTTATATTGTAGCAGTTTTTTTATTGCCTGAAAACATGGACAAAAGGACATTTTCTAAAAATAAATCCAAGCGTTCGTCGCTAAAATCGTTGGAGCCGTATAATTTTCTCATCTGGTTCGGTGCTATGAATATTTAAATATATAAAAATTATAAATTAAAATGAAAAGATAAATATACATAAATATCAATAAAATAAAATAAATACAAAATAATATTATATTATTACTGTATTATTATTATTATTATACGATGTGGTTCGGTGAAGCTGCAACCTAATGGACCATGATCTGAAATTTTTATGAAAAGAAGTGGCTGAAGTATTATTATTCTTATTAGTTTTTCATTACTGCCTTTTTCAACCTCACAAGATATTTGTAACTGCAAAAAAAGAAAACTACGTATAAGTAAGTAAATCAGTAATATAGTGTTATGTATGATTCAGACTAAATAAAGGTTCCCAAAAATAGACGTAGATAAAGAAATTGCATAAAAAATTACTCAAATAAAAATGCAATAAACTTGTTAATTTTATAGGTACTTAGTAAAATATTAAAATAATAAGTTTTTTAGGATATTTATGTAAAACATAAAGGTTACATTATGTTCTAACTACGTTCACGCTTGCGCATATAAAACCGCGGAATTTCACTAGTTTTATTATCAAAATAATAATTGACAACCCTACCCTAAGTTTGCCTTGATTTTACCAACACTGTATTTTTTGTATTTATTTTATTTTATTGATATTTATGTATATTTATCTTTTCATTTTAATTTATAGTTATATATTTATAAAAACCAACCAGATGAGAAAACTATACAGATACCCCAATAATAATAATATAATAATAATAATATTCCACAACTATCACACAACGCTATCTAGTCCCAAGCTAAGCAGAGCTTGTGTTATGGGTACTAGACAACTGATAAACATACTTATATATTTCTAAATACATAAATATTATAGATAAATTACACCCAGACACAGAACAAATGATCGTGCTCATCACACAAACATTTGTCCTGGGTGGGAATCGAACCCACGACCTGCGGCATAGCAGTCAGGGTCACTAACCACTAGACCAACAGGCCTGACGATAAATAAAATAGTCTCTAGCTCGAGAGGAGAGGAGCCGTGGTAGCTCAGATGGTTAGCGCTTGCTAAAATTTTCACAGTGTGCGAGCAAACCGGGTTCGATCCCCACCGGCACCAATAATATTGTAATTGCAATTTTAAAACCAAACATATAAATTATAAAGTAGCTGCAGGTATCTATAACCAAGTAAAAGATATTCCTTTACTCCAACTTGTCCATGTTTCCCAAAACAATTTTTTATTAAGCTTTATATTATAATGCCGATTTTTTATATTTAAAATTTTAATAATAAAGCATTTCGTACGTCTCAGCCGAGGCGCAAATATTTTTCGGCCGCAAATTTATAAGACCGATTTGTTACTCAAACATAAACATGGTTTTTTAATTAAATCTACCAATCATAAAACGACACGCATTTTTATTGAACACTTCCTATTCGATTCACAAAGTACCTATTATATATTTGTTTATATAAAAAAGTATATTTAATATAAGTACAATCATAAAACTAAATGGAAACACAAAGTAGAAAAATGCATTGAGTTATAAAACACATAAATCAATGGGCAAATGTAAATATGCTGGAGGCAGGCATCCCTATCGCATGTTTACGTACCGCACGGCTGTAAGATTTATTTCTAAGATACGGTCGAGTTACAATATACCGTGACGTAAGCGCATCGGTTGGTAGGTACTCAAATAATATTATGTTTGCGGCGAAATACGGACGCGGCGACCAGCGACGCGGCCACCACCTACGAACGCATACAGCGTAATGCCGCCCGCACTCTGCGCACGCCCCTTTATCATAGAAGTCACACAATTTCCGGAATTATTTCAATTAAAAGAGAAAAAACGAACTTAAAAATTTAAATAAAACGTGGAGAATATAGATTTTTTAATTATCTATCCATTAGTGTTATCCTCAAATGATTAGAGCGTTGCGTTTAGTAACAGATGCATGTAATCAAGAATTTTAGTCATTTTTTAAAAGTTGATTTTAAATGTATTTATAGCACATAAAAATAAATTAGAACGTGGAATGCGATGATAAGAAATCGAACATTAATAATGTACTTTTAGATGTAGTTTATTTTTCATAACTAATAAGATAATAGAGTCTGAAAAACGCACTTTCGCAACATTTTGGTCAGGGATTCACCTAAAATAACATAAATAACTTACATTTATACGTTAAAATACTTATATTTATTAAGTGATTTGAAACTTTGATTGAAAGATGTATTTTAAGTTTTTCATTATTTCATTTTAATAGTAATAATTCAAATATATAATAGGAAACTCTATGAAAATTCAGATGGTTGTTAGTTTAATTACTAACATACGAACTGATTTGATTAAAACTACTTTTACGGATTTTATCGCGTTAATTTTTGCTTATAATTACTTTTATTTTTAATTCCCGACGTTTCGGGCGCTTTCCAGCACCCATGGTCACGGGGACTGAGATGACTGACGTCCTGATGTCATTGTTAAACCCGGAGTACCTTCAGCTTTTTTAATTATTGTTTATGGTCCGATCTATGCAAAATGATCATTTTCCCCGTCATCATCATCTCAGTCCCCCGTGACCATGGGTGCTGGAAAGCGCCCGAAACGTCGGGAATTAAAAATAAAAGTAATTAAAAGCAAAAATAAACGCGATAAAATCCGTAAAAGTAGTTTTAATCATATGTAGTGTTCGCGTAAATATAAGAAATCATTATACGAACTGATTAACATTGGTTTGGCTGCGATTATTGTAAAACTCTCATTAC